AAATTACAGAAAATGGCAGGAGTTGATGAAAAGCAGCTTGATCATTGATTCGTGTTGTCAAACTGTGCTGAGTGGCAGTTTCTTCTAAGAGGAAACCTTGGTTGAATCCTTGCCTCGGGCTATCAACATTCAGAGTGAGACGAGGATATTTTTCCAGCGAGTGATGCTACACAGCTCAGTCGCTGAGACTAAAAGACTGCTGACAAATCATTTTCATGAAGTATATACAAATAGGGCTATTGACGGGAAAACCACACAGGATTCATATAGGCTGGATTTATTCTCAGCAAATTGGTATGATAAGGACCGGATCTAGACAGGTGCAGGCTCTGTGCTGAGACATCACTTTAGCCGTGGAGACAGAGGCTGATTGTGAATGCAGACATGTTTCTCAGACCTTTTCTGCTTTTAAGATGGGTTTCTCCAGAGATACGTAGAGCTTCTCTTTTTATCCATCTTTCTCTTGCCCCTTTCAGACATACACTCCTTTCCATTGATCTGACGGCATCTAAATTTGCCGGCTTCATGTCTGGGTGAGCAGCCTTGTTGCGTTTCTGTAAAAGTTGCAACGCCAGTCTTACCAAGTCAGACTTCGTAGAATTTACAAAATACTTTAAACAAGTCTGAAATGCATTCTTTCACATTAACCAATAGGGATAAACAAGATTACAATGGACTGACTGAGGATGCTGTTACATATAGTTGGAGACGTGACCTTGTGTCTTATACTGTGCATTGTCCAAATTGTGCAAAATGGCATATAGAGCACATTTACCATCGCTCCGTTAAGGGGATGTCTGATGTCTTGCTAGCCAAAATTACACAAAATTGTCTGACTGCATTATCATTCAGGTACAGGGATGTAAACAAGGAAGAAAAAACAAAACAAAACTTGGGCTTGTTTGTATTTTTTTTTTTAACCCAATCACAATTCTCTTTGGCAGCAGTAAGCCCAGGATGCAGCAATGGTGTCCCTGCGAGATAATGTTGATCGGGGGCTTCTTTTGGTGGAGCCTTTGTACACTAGAAAACAAGCACCCTGTTGGATGGCAAAATTTATGAACATATTCCTTGTAGATCTTTACAAATCTTCACTGAAAGACAAAAGCAGGTGTGCTGATCGCATGATCCTAATCTTTGTCAAAACTTGCCTTTTTTTAACATGTACATTCCTTGTACTGAGGTTTTGATTATTGTTTCCTATAGCAAAGGGGATTATGAAAGCGATAACATGCAGATAGCAACATGGGAAAAGAATGCAGCGTGAAATACGTGGTTCTAATGGCAACCTACATCTGATGAGTCAGACTAATGTCTTAATGACTGACTGCATTTATTTTAACAGATTAATAAAGCCAGCAAGGCTGTATAGAGCCTCGTGCCTGAATGCCTGACTTTCTGCTTTTCTTCCTCTCTCTCTCTCTCTCTGGTGTGTTTGTGTAAATAAATGTGTGCGACTGAGGTAACAACATGCACAAATGTTGGGAATGTTTGGAATTTGTACCAGCAGAGGAGAATACAAAATGTGCCGCACCACACAGCAAGATGTGCAAAAAAAACAGAGGCAACAACTATTATTACTGTTGACTGTGTTGACTACCACTTATCTTATAGATTGTTTTTCAGAAGGAAAAAAAAATGGAAAAATGCTTCAGCAATTTCCCAGTAGTCATAAAAAATAAACACATCTAAGAAGCGGAAACCTGCAAATGTTTGGTATTTTATCTTGGAAATAGTACTTAATAATTGATTATGAAAGTAGTTGCTCATCAATTTTATCTCAACCAACAAATCAATGAATCAACGAATATTTTATGCTCTAATACGCATTATAGATCCACCCTCCATGAAAACACACACACACAAAAATACGTGCATAGAGACGCACATACCCAAAAATCAACACATCCCATTTCCGTCGACTTCTCAGCCTCGTACACATAATGTTGCTTTCATATTTCTCCAGTAGATGGCACACTTGTAATGCTTGCAGCCCATTTAGTAGCTGCCTCCCACCAGATTCACGAACTAAAATGAGTAAGTTAAAACTAGAAGCAGTGACACACAAAAAAAACAGACATATGGTCCAGTTTTTTCCCCCCAGTACTACAGTCAGATAACCATGTGACACTGCTTCCTTCCACTGAGTCAGAGGGGGAAGAGGTGCTTCTTCCACAGACGTCCTCTCTTTTCTTTTAGTCTCACATTCCTGCCCTTTTTGCTGTCAGCAGAGGGAAAAAAAAGAGAGAGCACCGTCTAGTGAGGAGGCCAACATGTCAAAGGACAGGACAGGACGGGGAAGTCGGAACAATGACACAGGATGAGGTTTGTTTAGTCCGGTGCACTCAGCACTATCTGATCCGCCGGAGGGACAACGGGAGGAAGGAAGGGCTGACAACACCAAGCAGAAGCTATGACTCTCACCTGGTCAAACCTGAAACTCTCCTGCTGTGGTTCAAATATATGTGTGAAGTTTTTCCTGATTAGATAACACTGCTGCACTGAAACTACCAAACCAGATGTGAACCACCGGTAAAATATCAACACATTCTTTTTTTAGATCGAGGAGCAAAAGACTCCTTAATAATGTGAGTGTAAACTGATGAACTAAAATGTATAAATCCGGCAGAGAAGAGCTGTGACGAGTATTCTCAATATTTGCACTTTATCAAAGTCAATGAAACACTAGAAGATCCAGAGTGGAGGTGTATATATTTTATATTACTTGTGATCTAATAGTCCGTCTAAGGGAAAATGAGAAATGTTTTATGTTGTACTTCTTGACTAAGTGGATTCATTTGTTTGTTACTGCACTTTCATAATCAAATCTCTCTCCTTCATTAAGATAATTACTCAGACAGTCTGGGACAGGAGAGCCTGAGACAAGACCAACTAGTGTAATTTAATTAGAAAGACTTTCTTTCATTCTGCTGAAGCTGCACCGCGGAAGGAAGACCGGACTGGATAGATGTGTGTGTAGATGTGCGTGTGTGTTGAAACTTCAATAAGGATTTACAAGGGGCCGAAGATGAAGACGACCAGTAGAACTCCTCAACTGGGCCATTAAAGTATACAGCCAGTGAAGTACTCTATTTCATTATGGCAGGATTTATTACTCTGTACATTCCACTCAAGCAAGAAATTGCCCCGAAAGTACCTGAAGAGCAAAAAATGAAAGGGTGGGACTGGCTCGTGACCATGCAATTTTACTTGCGCCTTAATTCATATTCGCTGCAAGTAGAGATCTTCTCCACCAGGTGGTGTTGCAGGGCAATCATAACCATTGACGAGGGACACACCGAGACGCACAGGCCTAAAGCCTAAACTTATGCGTTCGTCTTTAATCGCTAATAAACACAGTACTGCTTCCTATGTTTTTTTATTCAAGTTCAAGTTTCCACCCAAGTTTTTTTTTTTTGTTTGTTCATAGAAAACATGACATGTTTACTGTGATTAGACCATACAGGAGCAGATAAGCTCTCAGGTCAGTACAGTAGTTAATTCCACTGTTTGATTCCTATCTGGCACTGAAGGTCAAGTGCGGTATTAGAGTACAGCCACCGACTAGTATGCCATTAAATGAAAACCTTCTGACTCAATTTTCTCCTTAACAACTGCAATAAATCAGCGAAGCGCCACCGCTGAGTGGAGCGTGCCTCTTACCCAGGGCTTGCCAGTTGTTCCCAGGCCGGCCAGTTAGTTCAGTATTGATTCTCTGTCTTGCTGTTGTACCACTATAACCATCTGACCTATGAATGCTGAGCTCACAGCGCTGGCCTGAAAGTCCAAAGAGGGAGATACCATGAGAGGAAGGACTCAGTTCGTCCCTCTGGGCTCTGCACTTTCACTAAAAAACACCTGCCCTGTTAGCCCACCTGCTTTGGCCTCAACACCTTTCGGCCTGTCTCCATGCACCACATCACCTCCAGGTACATTGACCTTTAAAAACGTACTCTCATTATGCTGTGATAAATCGATCAGCCTTTGGGCTGCTTTTAGAGATTTTGAGGTTTTCTGCCATTATGTTAACATAGCAAGATGTTAAAATGAAAATTACTATTTTCAATTAAATTTAAAAAAAAATTTAAAAATAAAAACATTGAAGGGGCATCAGAGAATGGCTTGATTATGCAGCAGACCATTTGGGTTCAGAGCCTCTGATCACAGAGGCATCAGAACAAAACAATGTCCAGAGGCACAGAATATTCAAAAAAACTCAAATCATTTGAATGTAAGTAAACATGTTAGGCAAATACGTTACCTTCAAAGTTACCCCTAAGGAGGTCAACAGGTATCTACATAACCTTTTTTTCTAATGCTATCTTTGTCTGATTTTGCTTTTTTTTCAAACATTGGATGCTTTCAACTCTTGGTGCTACTAAAAATGAAACAATCTGAAGAGAAAAATCACTTCAATGAGTCATCTGTTCACTCAATTCATGTCCACACTGAAGCCACGGTCAGCAGTGAAGGGTTACATGCGGGCTTTCCTTCAATTTAAGAGGTCACAAGCCCAAAAGGTTTGGAGCACCGCTCTGGAGAACAAGCTCATTTTTGAGAAAATCAGCTGCATATAATCACACAAGACCGCCCAACTCAGAAAAATGTGTTACAGAAATTCAAAGGAAATTCAATTCCATTACAGACTTTACTGTGGATGTGCTTTTAAAACACACTGAAAGGATAATAAAAAAATAACATTCCCATTCCATTACCATACAGCTGCATATCTCTGCCTGCTCGGTCAGGCCCTTCTACTTATGTGGTACGATGATTATCCAGCTCAAGCTCAAGGTGTGCGCGTATCGACTCCCACCTGTGCAGAAGTAATTACAGTTTCCCTCCTCTCCAGTTGTCATTGGGAACAAGACCATAACTCTGAAAGTGAGACGCTACTTAACCATACAGGCCCGATCTAATGTAGAGTAACCCACGTCACACATGCATATATTCTCCACACACACATGCAGAAACACCATTCTTGCAAGCACATACGCATCTAAAGTTAGCCTCACTTTGAGGAATTTATTGCATTCTAATAAGCATCAATGTGATTTAATACAGAAAGTAATAATTCATTTTTACAGAGCAATTTAAGACTCCTGGAATCTGTAAAAAAGTAGTGAAAACGATTCAATATAGAAAAAATATATTGAGTAGCACAATCAGGACATCCCCCACCAGCAAACAAAAGGAATGAAACAGTTCTTTAGGTTTATCATTTTCCGAGGGTAATCTTGGAATTGCAAAAAATCTTAACCCTCCTATTATTGTTGGGGTCAATTTGACCCCATTCAATGTTTAACATCTCTAAACAAGCCATTGACATATTTTTTCAGTTTTACTTAAAGGGCCATTTACACATAAAGTTGGGCAACAATTTCAATAATTTAATTTTCTAGGTGTTGACATCGCTGGGGTCAAATTGAACCCAAGGATAAAAGATATCAGGAAATTTGAAGGTAATAGGAGGGTTAAACACATTCCTAAATTTAACCCCTGTGACAGTTCAGAGGTAGACCACAGGGGCTAAATAAACTCCATTCCAAATAATTCAGAGGCAAAACCTGGAAGACATGTTCAACAAATAACAGTTTGAGCTTGTTAATGGAAATCAGCTGTTTAGAAAAGGAATAGACTGTACATACATTCTCTTTATATTAACAGATACAGCCTTATGATTGGGAAACTAATCTTATTTAAAATAAATTCAAAGACTAGTACACATAAAAATAATTTTCCCTCTATCCAACAGTCAGGAGCAAATTTTTGGAAGCGCGTCATCTACACTTCTTGCGACATTCACTTCACTGCCACATCGCCACATGACTTTCTAGTAGTTATGACTCGGAGCAACAAATTATGAAGAACAGGAAAATTCATATTTCAGCATGTTTCTAAAAATCCCCAGGCTTGTCAGGTGACTTCAGTTACTCATAGTGCAATGTGTGTCATCCTGCATTTCCAGTTAAGGGTGTGTTCATTAGTATGTGTTTGCAAATCCAGCCTGACAACCTGACAAAACATGACGGACACAGAATAAACATACTCCAGTTTGAAAAGCTAAACAATAAAAGAAGGTCAAATTATCCAAATACACTGGATTAGGAGAAATGATTTCATTTCAATTAAAAAGGCCATGAATGGTTGGTTAGACTCTGAGCTACAAAGCTTTTTGTTGGAAAAGATTTGGCCCCATTTTTTAACAGACGTTCAAATGGTTTCCCTGCTCCACCTCTCTAACCCGTATCAGGCTGCTGTGTTGACTATGCAAAACAGAAACTTGACACCGGTGTCACTGCCCGACTACTTGCTTTTCTATTCTAATGAACACACCCAATAAGTACATACTTGCACCAAGACAGAGACAACGAAAGTTCAATGACATCCAAGCTAATTACATGAGCTTCATTATCATTTTAAATCCTTGTATTTTATGGGGGAAAAATATATTTTTAGCATTTCATCACTGCAACATGAACATTGTCCTTTTGGAACACCATAGCTTGATTCCATTATTGCTAGTTCAGTTTATGCCAGGAAAATATCTGTTTCACACAGGGAACTTGACTGTGTCCTGGTTTGTTGCTGTTTTGTTTCCATTGGTGCTGTTCATCCCCTCGCAGCTTCTGAGTCTCCCTCGAAGGCCCTGTTGTCATAGCGATACTGATGTCTCTCTGGGTCAGAGCTTGCTGGGTCAGTCAGTGGGACTTCATACAGGGGCTCCCCTCCCGTCACTGTGATCACAGTGACCTCTGGTGGTGATTCGGTAGGAATGTCGTCTTTCATCTCTTCCTCAACCCCCAGGGCCTTCAGGATGTCGCACTTACACATGGGACAGGTTCTCCTCTCCAGCAGCCAGGGCTCGATGCAGGCTTTATGGAAGATGTGGTCACATGTTAGCACCGTCACCACGTCGCCTGCCTTGTAGGACTCGATGCATACGGCGCACATGTGGGAGTCAGAAGTAGTTTCCTCGTCCCCTCTTTTGAGCGTGCGTACTTGCAGACGTCCAATTGCCCTCTTAGCCTCGGATTTCAGCCTCCTCTCCGAGCGTCTGTGCATGCTCAGACTGTACAGGCGATTGGCTGAGATAAACACAAAGTAGGCGATCGAGGCTGCCGTCACAATGAAGAAGGCAATGGACAGAAAATAGAGCCAGTAGGTGTCCACCCAGGGTCCATGAGCGCTGCCCACATCAATAATCATCTGAACGTCTGTCCCGTTCTTCACCAGATTGACAACCTCCGTGCCCTGAGTGTTGCCAATCATGATAGCCACAATATCATCTGCGTCTGAGTGGGCCATGTGAGTGGTGCTGTTGCCGCTGCCATCCACGTTATACACGACCACAGCAACTGCTCCTTGGCGTTTGGCAGCATTGATCTTTTCAGCAAAAGTGCAGTTGCCTCTCTTAACCATGGCTATCCAGGGAGGCGAGCTGGAATTGCGACTGTAGACGGCATCTGGGCCGCAGCCTTTGGGGTCTCCCTTGGGAAGTGTCACTATGCCGGAGGCTTTATCCAGGAGAGAGTTACGACCGTACACCCCACACTCGCAGTATCTGTCCACGGTCTCATTGTTCCTGTTAACATAGCTTACCTCCACCATGGCTGTCCAAAACACGAAGGCAGCCGAGTGCTGAACAAGCCCCGACAAACACAGCACAAGCAGGAGACAGTGTTGTGTCTTCTTACCCATGGTAACGCTCCTCTCAAAACAACAAAGTCCTCTGTTAGCTTCTTTAGCTTCTTTTAAACTCCTTTGTCAGTCCCAGTTCCTGGTTTGTGCGAGCCACAGCGATCTGAACACAGCTATGGTTTCACCCAACCTGCTGTCTTAGGTAATATGATCTGAGCCTTTGGTAATATAACACGAGCTATGCGTCAGCCACTCACCTCTCGTTATCTTCCTGAACCTTGAACACTGCTCGCAGAGGGCAGGCTGCCGCTATTCAACAAGTTGGAAGCACACGCAACACGCAGACCTGCGCCGTTTCCAGAGCAGCATATGTAAAAAAATAAGACGTGATAAGCGAATGATAAGAAGGATTTCATAGATCAGCAACACAGCAGTGTGACACTAATAAAAACCTGGTGACTTTTTCTTGCGTAACGATGAGCAAAGCAATTCAACCAGTTTTTCTAGTTTGACTCGTTTCCTTCCCCTTTCTCTGTGACCAGCATACTGTTGTGTAAAGCTCACTGACAAGTATTACTTCTCTACCTTGTTGTTATTCACTCCAACACGGTCTTCTTTTGCAACACATTTTTAACAGACACACACAAAGAAGCGGACACATTAATATGTGTCCTTTAAGTCACACAGGGTTTGCACTCAACAATGAAGGTTTTTGCCATTGTTTGGATAACTAGAGCCACTTGAAGAGGCTCACAGCCAGCAATGCCACCGACAACCGAGATGGAACGGGGCATTGTTGAGTTTCCATTGTATCTCCTTACACACAAGTGAAAACACACAAACACTGAGAGAGACAGAGAGGCTTCGAGTGACAAATGAGATGGAGAAGTTTCTTGCCAAGCTGCTATTTTACCTTCGCACTCCAACACACATGGAAAAAAACTGCAGAATGCAGGCCTCTGAAGAACGTGCTATTAAATAATGCATTTCAGCGGGACAAAAATCTGTAAATAAACGAGTGTGTGGTATTTATTCTTAGTACAGCTGCAGCTCACGGCTCTAGATAAGAGAAACGATGGTGCCGCTATGACCCTTAAATTCCTGAAATAATCACCTGCACCCGGCAGAAAGTGAAGCACAATATTAACTAAAGAGGATGCGTGCTTTGTTTTTCTCCATTAAAAATACATTCTACTATATTGGGGGTAGATTTAGGTTCCACGCTTTCAAGATATCGTCAGACTTTCTGCTCCAACAGTGGCATCTACTGGCTGCTTGCGGTCGAAGGCAATAACAAACTGCTGCACCGTGTGAGGGTTTATCTGAGTCGCTCAGACATCCAGGCAAACGCTGTGACCACTGTGAGGAATAATAGCTGATGATAATACCAGATATAAATGTGTGTCTATGGTTATTTTATCCCAAAAATATTTGTAATTTCAGCAGCGCTCCACATTGCAAGTTGGTGATGAAATACGACCCACATAAAAAAGAAATTTAAAAAAATAGAGGAGGGAATAATGTAAAAATGGCAAATGGAGAGACACTATCTGTTCAAAAATTACACGACATACCCTCAAGCCAACGATTATGCATTGATGAAACTGAATTTCACAACAGAATAAAGTTCACGTTGACATATCATAAAAGTAGGTGTGACATGCATACAATGATATTTGACCCCAGAACTTCTTTCGTAATTAAAGTGACAGTGTTCTGACAACAAACCCTTAAGCCTATAAAGATAAATGACGGAAAAACAAACAGAAGGGCAACAGAACTGCGAAATACTTTCCAGTGGTTCACATAAATATTTCCGTTCTGTTGCCATTTTTGCATCTTATGGTTATTCGAAGACAGTGAAATGCTGACATGGCTGATCTTCTGTAATGTCTTTCATATCAAAATATTAGGTGTCGCATTTTGCCAACAGCACGTACTAAATAGCTGCTCTTTATTCTGTATTTGAACCCCCATTAGCTTCCACAAGGCAGTTGCTAGTCTTCCTGGGGTCAATTCACAAAACAACATTTAAAAATACATCAATTTAGAATCCCAGAATATCAGTGAGACAACATAATTCAGTATCAACCCATTAGGATAAGAAAGGTTTAGAACAAAAAGTCAAAACTTGTCACACACTCACAGCACCGAGCAAAGAAAATAAAATTCACAAAAAAAAAAGTTCCTGAACTGCCATGACATAATTTACATGTGATTCATCAATTTGAGTTTTAGTGACTTCTTAAAGGAAAATCTATTATCTAATACTGGTGGGAGCATGTTCCAGACTGAGACCCCTCTATAAAGAACAGTTCTCATCATAAAGTTTGTTCGCAGACTCGGTGCCACCAGAAGACCGGTGCATACCTAACGTGTCACACACCCATGGCAAAAGCCACTATATACTAGTTCATCACCAAAGAACTGAGGTGTATTTTACAGGATGATGGTATGAATGAATAACAAAAGACTAGACTTTAGTTGAGCCTCCACAGTCAGCCAAGATTGTCAGTTATGCATCTCACACACACTGGAACGGAAAGAACAACGAAGAGCTAATCTCTCAGGACATATTGTGTTTAGGATGAAGTCATTAGTTTAGAATTAAATCAAGTTGAGAGCTGAGGTTTGATGTGGAGAACAAACTTTCAGAAAGTGTCATTTTTAATAGTTACTCAATATTATGCCACCAAAAAACAAAACTTGAGCCCTATTCAGTGTAGACTCAAAGTGAATAAACATTACTAAATAAATAATCCACTAAATAAATACAGACAAATAGTCTTTATATTACATCAAGCAGATGAAAAAAAAATACAAGTATGAAATATATGCTCCTCAAATGGACTATAACAAATACTTAAAAAAATCATAAATAAACTGGTCTGTAACTGGTCATGAAACTATGAAAATGTCTGAATTTATCCATATGGTTTAGTGAAATTCAAACATTTTAGTTACATGTAGGCCAACTAACCACAAAACCAGTTAATTCCACACAGCGGCGCTGTTAACTCACTGATGTTTGTTCATTTACAGCGCGTAAAACACACACACACACACACACACATACACACACTCACACACATACACACACACACACAAACACTTTTAGACTCGATGTCATCCATCACAACAACAGAAGCTTTTGCAGACTAATTTGGCGGCTGTACAGAACTTATTGATGCAAACAACACGCCAAGTGGAGCATTTAGGAAATGAATCGTTAGCCAATCTTAAGACATCATTTTTGCATTCTTGCACGTGTAATTCTCACAGTTTTAGGGCCACTGAGAAACAAATCAGGAAAGTAACTCACCGTGTTGTGCAGCAGGTTTGTGTCTGCAACGAAGACAGACTGTCCATCAGTGTGAAGTGTCCCGAGTAGGTGGTTTACGGTGCGCACTGAGAGCGCGACGTTCTGTGCGTAAAAGTTGAGGCATGTCCCAACAAGTCCGACACCCCATCACTGGCGCACGAACACCCCCTTTTCTGGTAGCATGTTACAGTCCACATGTCAATCTTAAAGGGCCACCTGCTCTATATTGTGATGCTGACTACAAATTGGATTCTCTGGGCTTCTTAAAGCAAAGTACTAAAAGGGGAACTTGAGCACACTGCTTTATTTCAGAATTGTGTCTTTAGCGCAGGAGGCTGCAGTTTCAGGACCCCACTTCCAGGAACCTTGTTTTTCTTTCATGACAACACCACCTACTGAATTAGCACTTTCTATCCAAGTACTTATAGTTTTAACGGTTTATTCCACCAAAATAGTATTTTCTAGCACACAAGTTGTAGTTTTAAATATGTATCCCACTCAAACAGTATTTCTTAAATAAAACAATTTGTGATTTTAAAGGTTTATTTAACCCACATTTTAAACTTTCTGTCCACATACTTGTAGTTTTAAAGTTTTATTCAACACAAATACTATTTTCTGTCCTGCAGTTCAACATGGTTGTCTAGAGTTGCTTGTAGAGCAAATTGTGTGACTAATTACAATTTTATCAGGTGAAGTAAGGACAGGATCGTACATTATGGTCTTCGTGGTCTCTAGAGCTCAGACGGAGATTGAAAATGTAGGAAAGAGACAACACACAACCCCTCCATGAGAAGCTATTGATGACTTTTCTGTCCAACTGAAAATGTTCAAATTGTTGTTAATGCTTTACAAATAAAACTTGATTCACATTCAGTCTTTGCACTGTGACTGCTGTTCATGTTGGCCAGAAATGCAGCCCATGCTTCAATATAGGCTACTCCCTGAGTTACCCAATGTCATGAAGATGGAGAAAAGGCAGCCTCCTCTACTGCACACATCCTTAACTCACAGCCTTTTAATGAACAGCTGGGCTAACCATCAACTTCAGTGTCTTTGTCAGAGTCAAAATGGACAAAAACATGAGGCAAACAGATGTAGTCAACCTGAACCAGGTGTACAATTGTCAAAGGACAATTGGTTGAACAGGGATTTCAAACCTATTGGACAACAGGTGGTGCCACACCCTCAACACCATGTCAGGGACAAAGGAAAACAGACCACAATTAAAGTGACAGAGACACAGGAGCCTAAAATTACAAAAGCTACATTGAAACAAAAGTGTCAGATTAGAAATAGCATGATAAATCTGTCAGTTCTTTTATATCAGAGAGAGAACATCATAGAAGAAATAGAACAAGCCTCTTTTAAAACAATAAGGATAAAAGACACAGAAGTGCTGCTCTAAGCATCTGTCAAGTTAAAACAGTTTAGAGGAAACAACAAATTCAGCTCATCCTTAATGCCAAAAGGCTCCACGGTGTTAAAGGTAAGGATGTTTTTCAGTGGAGCTATGAGTTTTTGCTACCAAATTTAGGGAGAAGGCCGGGTTTTCTTTTATCGCCCAGATGCTGCAGAGCTGTGATTAGCCTGTAAATAGTGTCAGGCAACAGTGTCATCCATGTTTTGTGCTGTCTTGTGGTTAGATATAAACATCTTTAAAGCTTTCTTGTTTGTCCAACATACATCACGCTACAGGGACATTTCAACACATAACCAAGATGTGTGCTACTGCAGTTGATAAAAGATTCATTGAGGAATTTTTTGCCAGTATGCGGATGTGTAAAGTATTTGATGTCTGATGAGTTGGAACATTGTGCTCAGTGGCCACAGTGGGGGTTAAAAAAAAACAGCCTGTAGGTTGATTTTGCAGTCAGGAGACAGTGTTTGGTGGTTTCCTGGTGTCAGGATGAATCAGTCTGTCTCTCAGGTCGTGGTAACATTTAAATGAGATCATGGGAGGCACATAACTTCTGTAATTCAGTGACAAAGCTACAATGGAGGACATTTTAATGTTTTAGAATGAGACTTTTCACCCTACCTGCTGGAGGAGGAAACTCAGTGCAGAATGTGTTTTATGAGTCGGTACTTTTTTTAATTAGCAGGGATTTCCTCTGTGTGTGTGTGTGTGGGGCCATTTGATGGCAGCTAATAGGAATATTAAGCTGTTTGAGATGGTTGCTCTCAGTTTTAAGAAGTATATTTCTACTTGGGATATTGTTTGTTTCTTTATGAAATGTGAGGTCTAGAAAATTAACAGAGGTTTTCATTCCTTAAACCCCATCATGAACCTGTGGACTGTGCCCAAGAAACAAGTGTGTGTCAGAAAGCAAACACACTGAATTGTCAAAAGGAGCGATCAAAGATACAACCAGAAGCTTATGGATGGAAAGCTGAGGTGAAGCTGAGGTGAAAGCTGAGGTGAAAAGCAAGTTGAGGTGAAAATGGCTAAGGAATGTTTAAGCCTGTTCAGGACTTTTGGGATCTTTTGATAGGAAAAGTTTTTTGTTTTTTTTTAATTTTTGAAGATTTTTTATTTTTTTTTAAATACGTCAACTTATCAGAAAATGTATTTAACAACAAATATTTTTGCACATATTCTTTCTTGGGGTTAAATGGACCCCGAAACACCTTCTACATATGGCAACATGAAAGTCCTGAATAGGGTTCACCAAACATTAGCATTGCTGTATACATATTTGTGACCCAGTAGTTTTGTGTTTTGTTTTTTTTAGAAGACCTATAATAAATCTACAAAAGAACCAAAATGCATGCATGTCCAGCTGAACTGAGGTTTTTCCGTTCCAGGTTACAGATATCTTCTTGGGCTGGGCCTGCCCCGAACATAGATAAGATTTGTACACTCCCGAGTTCAATTGGCCAGTTACTAATGGCGTGGACAGGCATCCTTCTGCGCTCTGTCCACGTCCTTGATATTTGGTAAGCAACATGTGTGGATGTTGTTGGTACGACGTGTAGCTAAAGTAACAATCGTATCTGATAGAATAGAGGAGTTTCCGCTGTCTCCAAGTGTGTGAACCGGTTCTCACTGGCCACATTATCTTCAAGGATGTATGCTGTTCTCAATAGGAAAATACGAAACAGAATCATAGGCTCAGTGCAAAATACAGATTCAGAATACATAATAGCTCGAAACTTACTTAATTATAACAAGTTACTGTAAGCACACACATGGATGATGTAACAGCCAGAAGAAGGAAGAAGGAGCATGAGAAGATGGAGATGTGTCAGGGGCTGAAGGACGGATGTGGATGGTGCATCCTGGGTACATCAACTGAGGTATCTGCAAAATTACAGCTAAGATGCTGCACAGAAACCTCCAGGCTCTCTGATTGAGGACTGGATAAACACATCCTATAGATAGATAGATAGATAGATAGATAGATAGATAGATAGATAGATAGATAGATAGATAGATAGATAGATAGATAGATAGATAGANGTTTTCATTCCTTAAACCCCATCATGAACCTGTGGACTGTGCCCAAGAAACAAGTGTGTGTCAGAAAGCAAACACACTGAATTGTCAAAAGGAGCCATCAAAGATACAACCAGAAGCCTATGAGCAAGAGCCAAGTACCAAGAGCACCAAGTTGAGGTGAAAATGGCTAAGGGATGTTTAGGCCTATTCAAGACTTTTGGGATCTTTTGATAGGAAAAGTTTTTTTTATTTTATTTTATTTTTGAAGATTTTTTTTAAAAAAATACGTCAACTTCTCAGAAAATTTATTTAACAACAAATATTTTTGCACATATTGTTTCTTGGGGTTCAATGGACCCCGAAAGACCTTCTACATATGGCAACATGAAAGTCCTGAATAGGGTTAATCAAACATTAGCATTGCTGTATACATATTTGTGACCCAGTAGTTTTGATTTTTTTTTTTTTTTTTTTTTAGAAGACCTACAATAAATCTACAAAAGAACTGAAATGCATGAATACATGTTTTCTTTTTTTTGTTTGTTTTGTTTTTTGTTATGGACACATTTGTTTCAATGATTCTATCATAGAAAACTAAGAGTTTCATGAGTTACTGTAAGCACACACATATATGATGTAACAGCCAGAGGAAGGAAGAAGGGGCATGAGAAGATGGAGATGTGTTGGGGGCTGAAGGATGGATGTGGATGGTGCATCCTGGGTACATCAACTGAGGTATCTGCAAAATTACAGCTAAGATGCTGCACAGAAACCTCCAGGCTCTCTGACTGAGGGCTGGATAAACACATGGGATAGATAGATAGATAGATAGATAGATAGATAGATAGATAGATAGATAGATAGATAGATAGATAGATAGTGGCTCCAGTAAATTATTATCATCTTTCCAGTTGGTGATAAAAAATCAAGCATCAAAGAATTATTGCAGCTTCAAAGCTCAGCTTCTAACCTGCACGGCTCCAGGCCCTCAGGCTACCTATTTACAAAGAGGCTCAAGCGTGTAAATCTGTGTTACATTTCTTCTTTCAAAGAAGGAAAAAAAAAACAAATTTCCTACTTCTTAAGATGTGGCAGAACGTTTTAAGGTAAGTTTGTGTTGAATTACACCCCTGATGCGCCTCAGGCTGGAGTGTGTTCAAGTCGACTGGAATGACTCGCAACTCGTGATCCCTCATTCTTGGTAGCGGCGGACCTTAAAAGATGCTTTCTCCCCCCAATAATCTCTTTCTGTGCGCAGCTTGTAGACGTAGCGTTAGTAGTGTTAGATGCAGCGCTTACAAGCAGCTCCGCGTGAAACCTCTGTTAGAATAAAGAGACATATGATTGCCTGGAAATACTGCAATTAATTCCACTTTTTTTTTTTTTTTTTAACTTTTAAATGACCATGAGTAAGGTTGCAGCTCTGCAGAAAAAGAAGAGAAAAGATTTTATACCTTACTTTCTAGGATTTGTAATATTTTTGTATGGCACCATTCATCTTGTATCATTTACGGCAAACACAACTCAGGAAAGTCACTCTGTCAGGGTGCGTCGGGCTCTTGGTAAGCTGCTGCTGCTGCATGCGTAAAAAAAGAAAATCAATGTGACTTTTTTGTAGTGTTTTTTTAAATGTCCAAACCCTACTCCCCCCCGGACCCCGATTAATGCATAATTAGAAATGTCACGGCTCATTTTCTTGTTTTACAAAGTGTGAGGAATCAATTGCGGCTGTGACAGTGTTTTTGCTCCACTAATCCTCGTGTCTTATTGCCGTGAAATGTCGCGTAAGAGTTCAAACAATCCTGCCAGAGAAGTCTCTAACAAGTTGTGGTGATACACTTTGTTAGTGAGCGGTTTGTGTGTGTCCTCCTGTTCCAGAGAACGAGACGGAGTGTATTTCACCGCAGTCCTCCGAGTTCCCTGCAGGTTTCTTCACGGTGCAGGAGAGGAAGGATGGAGGACTGGTCATTTATTTTATGCTTATTTTCTACATGCTGCTGGCTGTGGCGATAGTCTGTGATGATTACTTTCTGCCGTCCTTAGAAGTCATCAGCGAACGTAAGTTGCATGAAATATCAGATAACCTCAACTCTTATGTGCAGATGGAAGAGGTTGAGCCATCAGTGCACATCCTGTAATACAGCTAGAGATGATAGATGTCTATTTAGATATCAAATATTTACCTAGTCTTACATGGAAACACAATTGTTCCAGTAGTTTGTGGTTAATTTGACTGAGTGATGTTAAATGAAAGGTAACCAAATGCACTAATCTTATTTCTGGCACCTTTATGGTATAAAATTGTTTTAAACCAGTTCCACAACATCTACAGACATGATTTAGTTTTAAAGGACGACAGATTAGAGGTTAACTGATTGTCAGCCTGGCTGATTGTCTGTTCCAGTATTCAGCTTTTCCCTAATAAGATAAATATTTAAAATCTTTATTGTCATTTTACAGTCATACTTTTGTGCAATAGTACAACGAAATTTCTCATCCACAGTGGTGCTAAGAAAAAAAAAAGGACACGCAATTGTCAAAGATGGAATAGACAATTATGAATGTAAGCAAAAAAGAATAAGGATAATGATTATGTACACCATATATACGCAATATATACATAAAAACTATCAAAATAAATCATGTGCACAGTAAGGTGAGCAGGAAAGTGACTGTAAGGTGCAGAGAATGGTTATTGTAACCAGATCGGTGTCATTATTTTAATGACAGATTCATGATTAAATAAAGTGGCTCTGAAGTAGCCTCATCTCTGTATGTGTGTACTGTAAAAAAAAAAACCCAAAGTATGTTGTCTTTAATCAGTCTATACATCTTCCTAATAATTGAAAATAGTTAAACATAAACAGGAGGCAAAGAGCCCAAGGTGATGTCTTTTTTGTAAAAAATCTAAATATATTCTGCTCAAAATGACAACGATTGAGAAAGACGGCACATCCTCACATTATTGAAGTTTGATCCAGCAAATATGCAGCATTTTTACTTGATTAAATGAAGCAAACCATCAATCTGTTATCAAAATTGGCAGATTAGCTTTTCTGAAAGTAGGCCCTTTTTCCATCAGACATATAGGAGGAGCTCATTAATGATGGCTGCATTCCAGGTAGAGGAGGTCCTGCTATTGTGTTCTCTGGTTTACTGTCAGGGCTTTCTGGGACACTTAATGGATCTGAGCCATTTTTAATTCACTTGTGCTCTCCTTACTGTGATATTCCAATATCTCTGCTGGGAAGAAAGGTCAATCGATTGATTACTTCAGCTGTAAACTTCTCAAACCTACAGAAGGTGGCTAAATATTGGACCCCACATTTATATTACCATTCCAATTCACATTGGGGTCACGTTTTAAGGTTATAGTTTGTGGTTCTGTTGAACTGGATTGTGTGTGATCAGATTCTCTTGTCACTGGGTCTCTCTCAGGTCTGGGACTGTCTCAGGATGTAGCAGGAGCCACATTTATGGCAGCTGGGAGTTCAGCACCTGAACTGGTCACAGCCTTCCTGGGTAATCATGCATAAGTACAACAATAATTGCAACCAGCAATGTTGAAGATGACACCAGCATCACCGTCACTGTCACCGTGTCCTTTCTCATCCTGATAAACCAAGACTTCGCCACCATATGGGCGCAGAAAGGGAAGGCGGCCTTTGATTAGGACGTCCTCCCTCTCAGCCTTCCTTCCACGCTGTTCCTGTCGCCGAAGCTAAGACGTGCTCTCTGTGTGTGTCGTGTGTTAGGTGTGTTTGTGACAAAGGGGGACATCGGGGTCAGCACCATCGTGGGGTCAGCTGTCTACAACCTACTAGGAATCTGTGCGGCCTGTGGACTCTTGGCCTCCATGGTACATCCTGACACAATCACACACTCGCAATATTCACAGGTTACCTAAGCCGCTTATATACGAGTGTCACCTTTTTCTGGGTCAAGAAGATTCACGGCCTTGTATAAGCTGTAAACCATTTATTTTTTGTTTCCTTTATCAGGCAGGGCGCCTCACCTGCTGGCCATTGTTCAGGGACTGCTTGGCATATGGCATCAGTGTTTCTGCTGTTATTGCCATCATTTCTGATAACAAAGTGTACTGGTGAGTCTATATATGAAACCTGGGTGCACTGACTAAGCATTGCACAGTAAGGTTACGTGAGCTGCAGACCTTAAAACACCTACATATGAGGAGGTTATAAAAATACAGCTGTTTTATTGTGTCTTGTGATTCTCAGAACAACAAACAAGACGAACCACAAAACTGCTTACCGCAGAACCGTGACTCGTCCACATTTATTACACCGAGAGTACACTGCTATCTGTACTGTTGGAACTACAGATGTTGTAAAATGACAAAGATAATCAAAAACAAACAAAAAGCACCTGCTTTGACATAAAACTGTTTTTGAGGTGATTTTACATTTTTCCTGAGGTAAAAGTCCCTTCGATTAGATGTTGCCACACCTTTTCACCATATTTCACAGCACGCTTCAGTGAGTACAGTTTGCTCAATTGTTATCACGTGACCAAGATTCTGCAATTACTGAAGTATGTTGAAGGGATTTAGCAAATGCACCTCGCATTTTAGAATATTTATCATTTTTTTCCCCCTTTGTTGGTGAGTTTTAATCTGTTGCAACTGGGAGGGATGAAGAATTTGTCCAGTATCTGTCCCCCTCTTAGAGAAGTGTAAGAGTAACACTATGTTTATATTCAAATCTCTCTTTAAACTTCTTTTAAATGGTATGAAAAATATAACCACAAAATGCTTGATTAATTCTTGGCATTCCATAAACTGACAAAAGAGCTCCTACAAACTGGACTCCCATTCCTCATAAGGGTCTGAGGTCTCTACTTATGACTTATGTAACACACAAATGACCTTTACCCTGAAAATATATAACCATCTTATTTTTCTAGGAATGGCTAAAGACATATAAGTATTTCATTACAAACAGATGATTCAGATTTGAATAACCTATTGTTTTATGTGTTCTCAAAGCGAAGTGCTGAATCTTTATGCTCTACTTTCTTACAGGTATGATGCTGCCGCTCTGCTGCTGGTCTATGGCGTCTACATTGTGGTTCTGTGCTTTGACCTTCGCATCAGTGAGTTTGTCCTGAGGAAGCTGAGCCCCTGCTGCACCTGCCTGGGTTCGGGCTCTGGCGAGAAGATTGAGACACAGCCTCTGATGGGCTGGAACGAAGACACCAGCCTGCGAGTCCACAGTCGCTCCAGGACGGACAGCGGCATCTTCCAGGACGACTCGGGCTACTCCCACCTGTCCCTCAGCCTGCACGGCCTCAATGAGATCCCTGAAGGTCAGACACATTTCCTGTCATTTTCACCACAATGTGTCCGTTCGGTGTCGTTCACTGGCTTGTTTGACCTTTATGAGCTGTGACGATGTGACTTTTTTTCCCCATAACATTCGTCTGTATGCATCCCTGCAGAGCACAAAAGTGTGTTTGCTGTACCGGAGAGCGACCTGAAACGGATCCTCTGGGTCCTGTCTCTGCCTGTCATTACTCTGCTTTTCCTGACCATCCCTGACTGCAGGAGAAGGTTCTGGAAGAGCTGGTTCATGATAACCTTCCTCATGTCAGCTGTCTGGATCTCAGCTTTCACATACGTGCTGGTGTGGATGGTCACTGTTGTCGGTAAGATTGATTGATTTTAGAGGTGAATTATTATTTTTTTCATGTTGCATGTCTTTTGTGGCAAATGTTACCATTAGCTTCAATCGTGTGACCGCAAATCAAATCTTGGTTTAAATGTGCAGACACTGAATGCTGAGGGATTTTTAGAAATAGTGGAAACTGTAAGACTAGTTTGAAACCAATAAACGACTGGCTATGGGTTGTGTTTTCATGTTGCCTGTGCTTCAGAGAAACCTAAGCTCAGCCATTGTTTACATCAATTTGCTTCTCTCCTGCTCTCTGCACTCACATAAAGTGTATTTCAATACTGCCAGATTCTCAATAAAGCTGCTCTCATTAACGTATTTTGTTGTTAGAGAACAGAATGAGTATAAAATAATGACTGAAGCACAGCTTATTAACTTCGCGAGCCATTTCCAAGCTATCGCCACTAAAAGACTGATTTTATAATGTGCAGTCCTGTCTGGCAAATTCACCAAACACATAAATTGAAAATGAAGGCTGGGCTGTGAATTTGGCAATATTTACCTGTAAAATGATCGCTCAGAGAGAAAGTTATAAGTGATAGAAAGTCTCATACACTTATTGACATCTGTCAGGTCCTGTATGGTCAACTGTTCTGCTCTGAGCTGTCAATCAAAGATAGACAGTCTTCTTCCTGAAGGAGGGCGTGGACATTTAAAACTATTGACACTGAAACAGAACAGAGCTAAAACTAAGTATATAGTCGTGGTGAAATGAACCAACTTGAAGTATTTCAGGCTAAAAAATTGATTAATTGATAAATTAATTTGTTGAAACTGGGCACAATATGGGACCTTTAAATTGTCATTTTCCATTGAGCTTGTATAAATTCTGTACGTTGCCTTGGCCTTGTTGGTTTAGCTGCAGGTGTAAATGAGCCCGTCACTCAGCGAGCCTTTGCAGATCACAAGCATTTGAAACTTGTGAGAAAAACGTCTGATTTGCAGAGTAGAATCACATGTTGGTCTGCTGGTTAATTCCTGGGATGCCATTGTCCTAAGAGGGGGGTTATTGTAGCTCCAGTCGGCTGTGTGCCTAGCCAGCCACAGCAGGATTACAGTCAGCTTCACCCCTGAGGAAACACGGTCATGTGAGGAATGAATGTACGTACAGAACTTGACATGGGTCCAAGAACAGCTTCAGTCCCTTTCTGCCAGAGAGGAGAAGTATAAAACTGATCTAGGATCAGGCCAAAAGGGCAAATTTATCATGTGACAGTGGTGGGTCTATTGAAGTATAATGAGATTATTATCCCATAGTCGTCAGATGCTCACATGGAAGGAGAGGTTAGTCTTAAGAAAGAGCAGGCACGGGATGTAGAGTATGTGGTTCAAAACGTGGCTCTGCCATGTACATTAGCAACTCAGAGACATCACACTGCACAGTTCAGAAAACTCATCAGTGGTTGCATTTCACAGGCAGGATGATTGGAATTCATTTGATCCGTTGCCTCCAATTAGTGGGTTGTTATATGGGACTTGCTGAAAATTTTTCACACAATTGCCTCCAATCAGAGCCAACGAGAACACTGGATAATGACATGAAAGGAAATTTACATTTTACAATTACACCCAAATCACAAGGTCTATTGATAGAATCAGGATTTTTTTTTTTTTTGAATCAAGGAGAAAGAGCAGATGTAATTTTAACATTTCTTGACTGGTAAAAAGAATTAAACATTTTTGTGGGGGTAAAAAATACCATTCAAAACATAATATGTCTTAAAATATGTCTGAAGTCTTTAATGCTACGAAAATGTAGCAGTTTTGTTGAGCTGCTTGTGAAATATTTCCTAGATGTTGGGTGGGTAGGTGGGGATTTTGTTGTGGTACCTCAGTATTTGTAAAATCCTTGGTAAAGCTCTGCTTCCAGTGATAATCTATTAACCCTATAGCCACAGATACAATGGCCAGCTGTTTTCATAGCATTCAAGCTGTTTGTGGAGGAATCTGATTTCATGTTGGTTATGTTTACACAGGTGAGACCCTTGGCATCCCTGATACAGTTATGGGGCTCACTTTGCTTGCTGCTGGAACCAGTATACCCGACACCGTAGCCAGCGTGATGGTGGCCAGAGAAGGTATCAGTAGCATCACATTCTTACATATTTTATCACCCGGCATGATTTCAGCAGAGGCCAGACAACAGATATTTTAATTAATATTTGAGATATTCAAAATCAGCACCACTGAATGACTTTTTTAATGTGGCTATCCAAAACATTAGCTTTCTGTCAGTACACAGGCACTAAGCTAAAAGACATTTAAGCAATAACTATTGATTACTCATTACTTTACTCATTTCCCCATCAGCCATGTTTTTTTTTTTCAAATTATATCAAGGAACAAACTTCACTCAAGTAGTGGATTTCTGTGCAAATATAGACTTAATCCCAATGTGTAAACTTGTTTTCTGTCCATCAGGGAAAGCTGACATGGCAATGTCCAACATTGTGGGCTCCAATGTTTTTGACATGCTGTGCCTCGGTCTGCCTTGGTTCATCAAAACTGCCTTTGTGGACACAAACAACCCTGTGGAGGTCAACAGCACTGGACTGGTCTTTATTTCTTCCACACTTCTCCTCTCAATAGTCTTCCTTTTTGTCGCCGTGCATATCAATGGATGGAAGTTGGACTGGAAGTTGGGAATAGTTTCTCTCATCTGCTACATCCTTTTTGCCACTCTGTCCATCCTGTATGAGCTGGGGATTATTGGGAATAATCCTGTAAGACTGTGCAGTGACTGAGATCTGACCTTTACAGGACTGAAGCCATGTTTTCTGAGACTGTTAGTAGTCCAAAACCACAACAAAAATGTTAATCCTTTAAATCTACAAATGTCAAGACTAGGAGGCTTGGTCCCACTCACATACTTTTAAGCATAATATGCAAGATGTGGCTGGTCATATCTCAGGAAGAGGATTTAGTAATAGATTTCACCAAAGGACATTCTTTATACGGTTATACCACAATGAAGGCCCGCCATCACAAAGTGAGATGTCTCAAGGCTCACGAATGGAAAACGTGCTGTCACAGGAGTAACTGCCGAGTTCAAATGAATCCCGTGTCAAGGAATAAAGATGTCAACTGAACTCATTTGGCCTTGTCCTTCTTTTTAAGTGGGTTGGTGAGTTAAGACAAGAAAACAAAGGCATCATCTTCACATCCCTGATAAGCTTTTACGAGCGGGAAGGAATGGTGTCAACAGCCATCAGTCGTTAAACTCGTTCCACTCATCTTCTCTAAAATAGAATCACTTATGGTTTCCAGTTGTGTTTACAACTAACCCTACAAAGGTTACATGGACTTCAGACACTGACCTACAATTGTAAGAATGCCTATATAATCAAGGTTGGCAATCTTGTCCAACAGAAACATAAACAATGAACCATCTTGAAGCTCTGGAAATTTATGCAGTTTCCTGCATTCTCATTGTTGACCACGCCCAATATACTAACATCCATTAACTCCTGCTTTTGTTATGAATGTGGAATTTTCCAACTTTTAAGGAGGCCGATGTACAGCAGTGTTGAGAAACACAAAGTGTCAGTTTACACACTGAAGAACAAATGTGAGACTTTGATCTGGAAAGAGTTTACAACCACCAAGTTTAAAAATTAAAAAGTTTATTTGTCCAAATAAACTGCCTGACAAATTAAAAAGGGTTTACAAAACAAAGATAAAATAGCTATGTAGTATATATAAACAAAAAAATTAAACTGTGGACACATGAAGATATGAAGTATTTATGTTTTTAAAACAAAACAAAAGATCATTGGCAAGGGGGCTGAATGTGTGAGTGTTTTAGCTTAACTTCTACAAAAGCTCTAGGCGTTGCGATCGATGCGGACGTCCACCTCTCGGCCATTGATCTTGGTTCCATTCATCATCCTGCAGGCCTTCTCGGCGCTCTCCGGAGAGTCAAATCGCACTGTTCCACATCCCTTTGACTTTCCATTCTCCATCTTGATTTCTGCGAACATTACCTGACCTGCAGTGGACAATAATGGAGAATGACTTCTTCTGAGTATGTAATCTTACATAAAAGGTTTATTTGTTCAACAAACATTAATGATGAAAAGCCAGAAGTCTTCAAGTGGTTTGTGAATTAAACAACAAAGATGTAATTCATATCAAGAAATTAACAGCAAGCAAAAAACATACCACAGTGACTGAACTTCTCTTTCAGCTTTTGCCATGTCAGATCATAGGACAGCTGCAACAGAGATATGGAACATGTTAGTCAATACAGTTGGCAGCATTAACATATTTGAAGTTTGATGAAACAATACAAGATACTATCATCAATGAAGCCTATAGTATACATGCAAACACAGTCTGACTCAGAGGGAAAATGGTGATATCAATGACATGGGAATTAAATCAGTGGGATAACAGACCTATAACAGACCAGCAAACTTTTCATGCATCTAATCCTCACTTACATTCCGCACAAATATCTGACAGCCAGCTTTGGACCCAGAGCCTCTGTCAGACATGCCTCCACCCATGTGGCTTGGTCCCCCCCCTCCGTAGCCACCAAAGCCGCGGTTCATGTCCATTCCTGACATGCCTAAACGGTCAAAGCCGGAGCCCATTCGGTCCATCGACATGTTACCCATTCCACCACCTACAATTATCACACACAAAGACACACGCATGACACGAGAGCGCAACTTAACATCATGTGCAGCAGTGTTTCAACAGGATGCAGGTTCCAGCACTGCTGTAGCCCTGCAAAGCCTGATCACAGATGTACATAAAAGGGCTTTTGATACCCAATACATACAGCAAACATTACAACAACAACTTTCACCACTTTACACTTCTCTTTTTAGTATGTAACCTCAATGACATCTCACTGAAGTACATATAAACACTGTAGAACTGGACTGATATTCCACTTCAAAACACCAGCTATCACACAACACCACTGTTTATACAGGAGGCGCAGACGTTGCGGGAGTTTGTATTCTTAGTCACCAAACAAACTCCATGAGGAATACAAGGCAACAGATATTATGTAAATAATCTTGTGAATACTAAACATAAAGTTTCTCTAGCGCTCTCTTTTTCATTTTCCTTTGTTGTGTATAACACTTTCCAGTGAAATACCTCTAACAAAGGATGAAATAAATGTTGACTTATTTCTGGAAAAAAAAAAGAAGGATGGATTACAAAATTCAGGAAATGGAGCCGTTTTCTTTCATAGAGGCAGTAGGACAACGCTTCTAATCTAGCAATTTAAAGAGGCATTTATCACAAAGAATGCATGCTAATCGTTCTGAAAATTACACGAAAAAGCATTAAAAGCAAAACATGTAAGCTCTGTACCATAAATGTATTATGAAAACGGTGAAGTGCTTGATGATTCAAACGCACACTCAGTTCAAATGCTAAAAGGGTTTTTCAGGTTTCCTCATTCTTGGCCCACACAACATGCAAATAAGATTCTTTCTGCCTTGGTGGCTACCTACACACAAAGTTAAAATGTTATGACTCTTTGTGCTTTTATTCTAAATCTTCATTCGTCTACAGTTTATTGTACAATAAAACTATGGCATATTTTTATGGATCATTTGGTAATAAACTGATCGAATCCATCTGATCCTTTTTTTTTCTGTCCTCTAAGCGTTTCGCTGTAAGTGCAAGTAAGGACTAGTCTGAATGTGATGAATTATTCTGCTCTATGATGTAGGTGCTATCTTTGCTAAGATTAATGCACTGACTATTCAGGTAGCAGCTTCTCTCACCATCGCTTTCACCGTATAAAATAAAAAGCACTGCAGTCGGCGGGTCATATTAACTCCTACTAATTAGTGTTAATTCTGGAAAAGCTTGATGGTCGGCCAAAATTAAACTTGGCTGTTTTGTGGTTACAGAGCTGTCTACAGCCTGTGTCTGTATTCTGCCAAAGATGCTTTTTTTTAAAGACAATTTTGGAGCATTTTGTCTTTATTTAGACAGTCAGTGGAGACAGCAAAATGAAATGTGTGAAAGATAGAGATGGTTCGACAAGCAGGAAGAATTTGGAAGACTCCACCTAAAGTTTTAATGTGTCGTGTATACATTTAATTCTTGTTTTTGTTAATCTGAGTATTGGAAAAGTATCAGCAGATATCTCATATAGAGTACAAAATAAAGGTTAAATAAATGTATTGGTACATCCCTATGATAAACCTTGAATGTTAATGTTAAGAGTCTTTTGGCTGCAGTAGTGGGTACAACGTTATACACATACTGGATGTCCCTATTTTGATCTTACTGCAAGGTCTCTCACACACCAGTGCTTATGGCTCTCATGGCTTTGTTCAACAACACGGCAGCAGTGATAATACTTAAACTGACGTGATCTCATTCAAGGACAATCTCTCCATCTACAGGGCCTCCTTATTACCCATCACCTGTTCAGCAAGTTACGACAGCTAATGCCTTTCTACATCATTTGTGCACTCATTCCTACTTTCACACGATTGGCTATATAAACCGTCAAAAGACCATAAAGTGGTCTAATGAGCTAATAACATTCAAATGTCAACAGTTAGGAGTCCCGTGGCTCTGTTGCAGAGCCTACTGTAGCTCACGAGTACCTGCAAAGCCAGGGTGTAGTTAAAGAACTGCTATGAAACATATTTTGAAAAACTGTGGATTTAATTGTTTTTCCTGTACCTAATCCAGTCCCCATGTGCCCCATGCCACCACTGCCCATGCCTCCTCCTCCAAAACCTCCGCCTAAAGGACAGAATGCAAGTTGGTGCAGATTAGATCACATCATAATGCGACAAAGTCACCAAAGTAAACACTGTCAGCCTAAAAACACAACAGCACACATATAAAGTAATCCCCAAACCCGATCATAGCTCAAAACCAAACTGCACAGAGAAACTTGCATTTCTCTGCTGTATCTGGTGTTCAAGTATGAAAGGAATTCAGGGTTGTCTCAAGTCAAGAGTATCACTTACCCATTCCTCCAAAAGAATCCCCAAATCCTCGATTCCTTGGCATGTCACCGTGGCCAAAGTCCCGATCCATTCCACCCATTCCTGACCGATACATATCTCAACATAAGAAGAAGAAAAAAAACAAGACCTTAGACCAGTGGTTCTCAAATGTTTTTTTCTCAGGCCCAACTTCAGCAGACAAAAACTTTTGGGCCCTTCCCCCTCACCTTAAAAAGTCATGAAATATGCCAAGTTTAAATTTATTGAAATTAAATAAATATCATGAGCAATCAAATTGTGCAACAACTCAACAACATGCTCAGTGATCAGTAAAACTAACAATCCATAAATCTGTGTCCTCCCTCAAAAACAGAACCATAACACATAGGAATAGAACATAACACATACATAGCAATACCGTTCAATGCACACTGTAATTCAGTATAGAAAAATCTTGTGAAATTGTGCAATAACTTTGCAATCAGTGCAAAAAAAAAAAAATGAAAAAAAAGAGGAAAACGCAAATATTTGGCCAAAGAACAAGATGAACAAGCCAATGTGTGACTTTTGTCACACCATTAGTAGCAGCATTGAGCCTGTTTTGCACTACACACTTTTTCAAAACGGGGTTGCAGGACTGATCCGGCTACTCTCAAGTCATGTGCAATGTTGAGCTTGGATCTGTACAGAAAACACACAGGGGTTTCTCCTCACCTCCCACCACATTTGCTGTGAAGCCAAGAGCGATAAAAGCCTAGTCATACTTTCTTGACTTTTATTTTTCTTAAGTGTTTTCTTGAGTTTTTATCTTGTTGGTCTCCTGTTTGCCTATTTTACTTCTCTCCCCTTTTTTTTTCTCGCTCCAGTCAAATACTTCTCCATTCTGTGCAACAGGTAATCACCGTGGGTGGAGCAGAAATAACCCAATCATTGGGGACGGTTACTTTGACAGCACAGCTGGTTTATTGTTGTGCGTTGCGAAAAACAGGCTGATGTTAAAACAATAGCTCAGCACACTAGCTCAGCGTAGACAGACCTATTTCTCCCTGACGCTCATGCCCCCGTCATGCCCTTGTGCCTCCCCAGGGGGGCGTGCCACACACTTCAAGAAACACTGCCTTAGACTGAGGTTACCAATAACTCAAAAGGTGCATT